CCCCACTCAAATGCGGTGGGAAAGGCTGCTGGGGGTGGGCAGGCTGTCCCGGCTGCTGTTCATCGCACACGGGTGGGGAGAGATGGAGTCTTCCTGTGGCTCCCGAGAGCTCTGGGGTCCTGAGCTGCCCCCTGCTGGCGGGAGGTCGGGGCGAGGCATAGAGGACCTGCTGAGCTCCCGGCCCTCAGGCCTCCTGCCAGCACAGGGGTCCTGCGGAGAGGGCAGAGGTGAGGAGATGAGGGCCCCCTTCCTCGCGCCCATCCTCGGCTGGCCCGCTGGGGCGTGTCCTGGGAAGCAGACATGATGTGGCTGTGACTAGGTCAGGGCCGGCGAGCCTCACTCAGCTCCGGGATCCCGCCCGTGCTGGGAACGGGCGTGGCTGCTGAGCCGGACTGAGAAGCCGCCTGTGGAGTCATGACCTGCTCCTCGGGCCTCCCTGCCAGCCTGCTGCCCTCTGGCCTCCCTGGAGCCCGGGCAGGGCCAGCTCCGGGCGGATGTGCAGGGGCTGGGGCAGGGCCCGTTCCTGAGCCTGAGACGCGGGTTGTCCTTCCCTTTTCTCTGGAAACCCAGCCCTGCCTCCCCAGCCTTGCAGCCCCGACAGTAACAGGCCCCCAGAGAGGTTTCCTCACCCTGCCGACGAGCCCACCCGGTTGGTTCCGGGAGGGACTCCCTGTGTTCTGGAGAAACCCGAGGCCTGCATTCGCTCTTCCCAGGAGGTCTGCAAACCCAGAGCAGACAGAGGCTGTGATGTTCTGACTGGGGTCTGGCTGGGCGGGGGGCCTCATAAGTACAGCAAGGCGGACAAGGGCCACACTCGCAGCTGAAAACCGCTGCTCCGGGCCGAGCCCAGAGCCCCTCCCACCCTGGGACCAGCTGCAGGGGCAAGAAGGCCCTCGGCCCAGCGAGGCTGCCTGCAGGGGTCCTGTAGCCTGGCTGGAGGGCGGCTGAGTCTGCAGTCTGACACCTGGCCTCCCTCGCTCCTCCCCCTCCACTCCTGGTGTGGAACTTAAACTTCCAGCCTGTGCACCTGGGCTGGGGAGCCTGGGAGTGTGGGCACCTGGGCAGGTGGGCACCTGGGCAGGTGGGCAGGTGGGCAGGTGAGAATGGAGCCTGTGGGGGAGGCCCGTCAGGTAGACTGCTGAATGCCGGCCATCAAGGTGGGCTCCAGGCTGTGAGGACGCCTGGGGCTAAGCCTTGGTATTGGTTATCTGTGCTTTGTAACACAGATAAGATAAGTATCACAAGCTGAGCAGTTGAAAGCAACACCCATTCATTATCTCAGTTTTTGTGGGTGGATGGAGTCTGGGCCCTGTTTTCTGCTCAGAGGATCAACAGACTGTAATCAAGGGGTCATCTGGGTTGTGATTTCATCTAGAAGTCAGGCCTCCTTGGTTTCTGGGAGATTTTAGGTCCTTGAGTTTGCAGGACTGAGGTCCCCGTGGACGGAGGGCTGCCAGCTGGCTCTGCAAGCTTCCTGCCATGACCCCTCCATGGGAAGGGTCTTGGCCTTGTGCTCCTTCAAGGCCATAGAGGCTGTGACCTGACATCTCTCCCTGCAGGGAAGGCTCACCGGATTAGGGCAGGCCCACCCTGGGTGATACCTTTTTTGAGTAACTCAGTCAACTGATTAGCGACCTTAATTACATCTGCAAATCCTCTTCACTTGCCCATGTGATGTGACCTAGACGTTCATTCTTGCCTGCACCCAAGGGAAGGGATTTAGGGGACCATGTCGGAGTTCTGCCTTCCCTCTGGGTCAAAGCACATCAGCATTTCCATTCCTGTGTCACAGCGACCCTGGTGAGGGTGATAAACCCTGGGGGCGAACGCCAGGTGGTCATGTCTTAACAGTCTGGCAAGGACCATACCCCCTTCTAGAGATGAAAACACAGAGGGGTGCAAAGGGCAGACCCCCTGCATGTGAAGGGTGCCTTCCGCTGGGCGCCCCAGGTCACACCATGAGAGAGGCAGCGCCGAGGTCCCCACCTGAGGGTTGCTAGGACAGACTCCCGCACCTGCCCAGCCTGTAACCACGGCCCGCCCAGGCCCCGAAGCGTCGCCGACAGCCCCCACGGCCACCACGGCCCCTGCAGCTGGGGTCACAGACAGTGCCGACTGGAGTCCCAGCGCCACACGCCCTCAGGGTCCCCTAGACACACCTGCTCCCGTGGGAGCCCTCTGTGGCCTGCCTGACCCCCTCTGCCCATGAGGAGCGCACTCTCCCTGAGGTTCTCCCATCTCCCATGTCTGGAGGAGTCTGCCGGGGAGAGAGGTAACCTCAGCCTGTGGCACCCACCTCCTCGCAGTCCCACCCGCTGTTCGGAGGTGAGGGCTGCAGAGGGGCTTCCTTATCCACATCTGGGACCGACCTGGACTGCGCCAGCGCCTGCTCCTGGATGAAGCAGGGTGCGGAGGGTGGAGACAGTCATGCTGAGCGGAGCTCCGGCACCTCGCAGTCAGGAGGTGGGGCTGCGTGACCCTCGGTGGGGCGCTTCCCTTCTGCTGGGGGAGGAGTGAGAGAGCCTCCAGGGACCCCAGCAGTGAGTGTGATTTTATTCCCAGCCCCAGGGGCCCCTCCAGGAGTCCCCCACATGCTCAGGCCCACACCTGGCTGCAGATGTTAATGGAGTTTGCACACATTAGGTGCACAGTGAGCCTGTGTGGGAAGGTGGCTGAGTGGACGGAGTTTGCACACAGTGGGTTCACAATGAGCCTGTGTGGGAAGGTGGCTGAGTGGATGGAGTTTGCACACAGTGGGTTCACAGTGAGCCTGTGTGGGAAGGTGGCTGAGTGGATAGAGTTTGTACACAGTGGGTTCACAGTGAGCCTGTGTGGGAAGGTGGCTGAGTGGATGGAGTTTGCACACAGTAGGTTCACAGTGAGCCTGTGTGGGAAGGTGGCTGAGTGGATAGAGTTTGTACACAGTGGGTTCACAGTGAGCCTGTGTGGGAAGGTGGCTGAGTGGATGGAGTTTGCACACAGTAGGTTCACAGTGAGCCTGTGTGGGAAGGTGGCTGAGTGGATGGAGTTTGCACACAGTAGGTGCACAGTGAGCCTGTGTGGGAAGGTGGCTGAGTGGACCCAGCGGAGACACCAGTGCCTCCTTCTAAAACCAGGCCGGTGGGCCCTGGGCAGTGTGCCCATCGGTGCACAGGCCGAGTGCCTACCATGTGCCAGGCACATGCCCAGTTTGCTGAAAAAAGGGACTCAGGGGTTGCTGCCCGGGGTCCTGGCCTCAGAAGGGGCAAAGTAGGCCTGGGCTGTGAGCCTGGGGCCAGGCCTGGACTGTCCCTGCCTGGCCTCTCCCTGCCTACTCCTCACCTCTGCCACACACGGGGGGCCGGCTGCCCAGTTCTGTGCACCCACCCTGTGCCCAGCACACGGTCTCTCTTCATTCTCAGAGCCTGAAGTACGGTTTGTCTTTGGTTCCAGATGAAGAAGAGACTGAGGGTCTAAGAGGTTAGGTGACTCTGGTTACTGGGGCTCTTCCTATAGCATTGTTCATAGGAAGCAGGCAGCTCTGAGCCCTGGGCGAGCTGAGCTGAGCTGGCTGCTCCCATCCGCACTTCAACCCCATACAGGGTCCATCCGCCTCATGTTGGCTGCAACGCACTGGGACTCAAATACTCTCCCCCAACACACCCCACAGCCTGTGATGAAAGGCTCGAATCTGAAGCCGGGGGCTGGCTGACCGAGCCTCCTGCCGGGCCTCCGGGTCTGCTGCCAAGAGCAACGGGGTCCCTGTGGGGGAGGGAGGAAGTCTGTGGCAGGACAGAGAGGGTTTGGATTCCAAGGCCCGCGCTGTCTGAGGCTGGTGGTCTGTGGATGGCCTGCCGTGGGTCCCACCCCACTCCAAGTGGCCGCAGGCCCAGGTCTGGGGCGCTGCCTGTCTGGTTGATGACCTCAGAGATCTGTGTCCTCGGGGTGACTGGGACGGGCACCTCCTCCGGCCTTCGTGTTTCCAATGACAGGGTGGCCTCCTCCCCACTTTCAAACCCAGCCACGCAGAGAGAGGGCAGCCCGAGGTCACAGTTAGGTTCGTCAGCCCTGGCCTGGGTTCTGGAAAGCTCTCTGCTGCCCCCTGGTGGGAGAGGTCTGGGGGCCTGCAGGCCACCTCTGCGCATAGCAGGTTCTGGGGCTCCAGGTTCCCAGGACCAGCGGAAGGAAGAAGTAGGTTCTTCCCTGCTGTCCTCTCCGGCGGAACCAAGCCCGGGCCTGGATCGGCGCTCTGCCCTCTGGTGAGTCCCTCCCAGGCCCCGGTGTCCCCTCTGGTGGAAGGAGGGCCTTGGGAGGGGCAATGAGAAGCGACACTTCCACGGAGAAGGTCTCCTTGGGGGTGACAAGGATTCGGACCTAGGTGGTGGTTGCACAGCATCATGAATCACAAAAATGCCACTGAACTGGTCGCTCGAAACCGTTACATTTATATTACGTCACTTTCCCCTCGTTAACAAAACAAGTGAAAGAGGACGAGGAGCTCGGAATAGCGCCGTGTGGGGAGAACCACTTGGACAGGCCTCTCTGAGCCTCGGTTTCCCTGCCCGTGAACCTGGGCGGGGTTTCGGCGGGAATGCCAGGATGCCTGCCCTCAGCTGGGCTTTCAAACATCCCTCCAGGCAGGCTGGCAGGGTGCCTCCCGCTCAGCGCCGCAGCTCGGCCCCCACCGACCTGCTGTGCGCAGTGGGCAAGGCACCGACCCTCTCTGGTCCTCTATTTCTTCAGCTGTAAAGGGGACCACAGTCCCGACCTCGCAGGGAGTTGTGACGATTAAAGCTAGAGCACAGGGCTGGACACAGCGGAGACTCCAGGAAGGGCGAGGGGGAGCGACGCCCAAGGCCACACCATGAGTGGCCGGCAGGGGACCTGGCTGAGTCTGTGGGACTCGCCGCCTTCCCACTTACCCCGAGGACGCCGGGCAGCGGCAGAGGCCCCAGGCCGGGGCAGGGGCTGCGGACCTGAGAGGCGACTGCAACGTCCTTCATTGCTCTTGGGCCCCTCGTTTATTTCCCAGAAAACAAGCCGCGGGGACCCAGTCCCGGGCCGGGCCCCGAGGACGGGGGCCCGGAGGCCAGCCAGGGTGCGCGCCCCCAGCAGCGCTGGGGGGCCAGGTTGACCCTGCGGATGTTGAGCTCGGAGGCGAAGGTCCGGGCCTTCTGGTAGAAGAAGAGGGACTTCTCGCGGTCCAGCAGGAAGTTGTGGTAGATGGTGGCCAGGCGCGCGTAGATTTTCATCTGTGCCTTTTTGTTGCCCAGGTCCACGGCCGCCGCCAGAGCCAGCTGGTAGTACCCGGCCGCGTCGAAGGGGTCCTGTCGGGGACGGACACTTAGCAGGGACCTCGGACGAACCGGGGGGAGGGGGGGCGTGTGTGGGCGGCTCCCAGAGCAGCTCCCAGGGGTTCCGGTCATCACCCTACATGGCTTCCTCTACAGGGCCTCTGGGCTCAGCCCTGAGTGTTCTCCTGGGAGGAGCCCCCTGCTCAAGTGGGGCTGCCTAAGGTGGATGTGGTCTCGTGTTGGGGTCCGACCTGGAGACTTCGTGGCCCGGACAGGCATTGTGACTGCCCTGGGTCCCACTGTGCACCCCCTTCCCACCCCCGAGCCAGGGCCTCGCACCCTGTGGCCGGCTCCCGGCCCTGCCTGCTGGGTGCCTCATTCCCGCCCCGCTCCCGGGCCCTGCCCTCCCGAGCACATCTGTGGCTTCCCCCGGGGCTGGGGTGGGGTCTGGCCGCTTCAAGAACCCCTGCAGGGCCCACCCCAGCCCAGGGCCGTCAAGGCTCCTGTCCCCCCAGCCCGTGTCCACAGGGACAAGGACGTCAGCACAGCGGGCCGCCCCACGGGCGAAGCCCAGCCTCAGCCCTGGGAGTGATCCTTGGGGTTCGAAGGGACTCCCCTGCCCCAGACACCCACTCCTATTCCACAGGCATCTTTGCCTCCAACCCAAGGTCCCGGTCAGGATGCCCCTCCCCCACCCCCACGCTTGTCTGCAACCCCAGCCTCTCCCCCGGTTACCTGGGGCCCCGCTGAAACCCCCATCTGGCCTGTCCACCCCTCGCTCACGAAGGTTCCCCAAGGAGGAGAAGTATAAACCCTGACTCCACAGCCCCCACAGAACAGGGACCCCAACGGAAGTGCAGCAGGTGCGTGTCAGCGCCGCCCACCCGCCCGCTCCTCCCTGCCGGCGCTGGGCCCGGCTGACTGGGGGCGACGGTGACCACAGGGGGCGGCCAGGGCGGGGGCACAGGAAAGCCTGGCAGCCTGCGAGAGCCCTGGGCAGTACCTGACGCAGCCGGGGGTGGGGAGGGAGGGCTTCCTGGAGGAGGCGGCATCCCAACTACACAGAGGGAACTGGAGTGGTGGTGAAGTGCATGTGTGTACAGGTGTGTGCACGTGTGTGTGTGCACGTGTGCGTGTACCAGCTAGTGGGTCTCAGACTCAGGATCGCACCCAAATCCGCCCTCTTCCAAGCCTTGCTCTCCTGGCCATGATACCCCATTCCAGCTGAAGGTAACCCCATTTCATTGGGACCTCTGCCTCCAGGCAGCACACCTGGGCCTGCCCCCCCCCTTCTCCTTCCCTGCCCTGTCCTGTGCGGGTGCCCCTGGTCACACGCGGGCGTGAAGGGACCTCTCTCCCTCCTGGGCCAGTGGCCCCTCGGAGTTCCAAGGCCTTGGCTGCTGGACAGGCGTGGTGCTGACCACCCTCACGCTGCAGCCGTGGGCAGGCAGCCTGGGGGCCTGTCCGGAGGAGGCAGGGGGCTTCTTTGTGCCTTGACCTCAGCCGCTGGGCCCAGGGGCTTGCCCCTCAACTGACTGGAGAGATAAGCCCCGCCCCCAGGGAGCTGGGCTACCCCTGACCAGGCCCCCCACCCCGACTCTGCTCTCCTCCCACACAGTGTCCCCTGCTTGGCAATCGATCATGTGGCACCTGGGTGGTCCATGCTCTGTGCATCTCACCCGCAGACAACCCAGAGTTCAGGGGTACACGGTGCCCCTCACAGATGTCGGATGGCTCAGGGCAGAGAGCACTAGTGAGGCTGGCCACAGCCCTGCCTCCACCCGCTCCCCACATATAGGAAGGTGTGCCCTGGATGGTGAGCTCGGACAGGGAGTGCCCAGGGTCACAGGTCACAGGTACGGGATTGTGGGAGAACAGGGCAACGAGGTCTCACCACGCGGCTCCTACTCCGACCTCTTTTGGCTGACCATACTGAGTCCCAGGCTCCTCCTGTCCTGGGGGGCACAGCGCCTCCCACACGGTAGACAATGCAAAGAGCCAACCACACAGAGCATGGAGGGCACAGAGCCCGGATGGCACAGAGCCTGGGTCACAGAGCCTGGGTCACAGAGCCCGGATCAGAGCCCGGATGGCGGTGAAAGTCAGTTGCAGTGGGTACTGTGTCCACAGGATCCCCTAGAACTGCCTGGCTCTGGCAGCAGAGGGCCACAGCGACCACTTCTGACCTTCAGTGTCGCTAGCACTCAGCCAGGGCCACCTAGGAGGGCGTGGGCGGGGCCGCCCCTCCAGCTCTGACAGGCAGCCACTCAGCCAGGCTACCTAGAGAGTGTCCCTACTTGGAAACAAGGGCAAGTCACACCCAAGTTTCCTTCTGTGACAGGGGATGACAGTACTGCCTACCCAGGTGACATCACGGCATCCCAGGACGAGTTCTGCACAGACTGGCAGGCTTCCTGGAAGAGGTGTCAGGATTTGGGTTGCATTTGCATCAGGGGGATAATGAGAGCCCCTCCTTGATTCCCTGAAAGTCCTTTTCCCCTCCCCCATTTTTGTGGCTAACTCCTGCTTGACTGTCAAGACCCAGCCTTGCAGTCACCTCCTCCGGAGGCCCCCTGACTCCCTTTTGTCCTTTACCCAGTGGCTGCTGTCATCTGTTCACATGTCCTCCACTGACCCCAAGCTCTGCGGGGCAGGGCCCGGCCGTCCCGGGGCCTTGGCGAGTCTGCTGACCCGGCGTGCTCCTCAGCCAGGCCCGGAGCTCCTGGGGCTTGGGCCTCACTGGGACTGAGGACTGGACCAGGCCTCTGGGGTCTGAGTGCGAATCCCAGCCAGGGTGGTGATGCCCCCAGCCCCGCCCCGGCCCACCTTCAGGTCGTAGAAGATGATGTCCCCAAGCGCCAGGTACACCCGCACGTAGTACAGCGTCTCCTCGGCGAACTCCAGCGGCGAGCTACAGAGCGACAGCGCCTTCAGGTAGAAGTGCTCGGCCAGCTCGCCGTGGCCCAGCCGGTGGTGCAGGCCGGCCAGCCGGTGGTAGGCCACGCGCTCATTCAGACGGTCCCCTGGGCACGGGGGAGGCCAGGGTGAGAACGCCGCTCAGAGCCCGCCAGGCACGCCCGCCCCGTGACTCCCTCTTCCCATCGGTCAAGTGGGCCTAGAGATGCTCGCCCCGCCCGCCCTGGGGTGAGGCAGAGCAGAGACTGGGGCCCACGCCGGGCCTGCACGCGACCCCCCGGAAGGGGTGCCTTGGTCACTATTTTTGACGAGGTGACCCCCAAAGGTCACACGGTCTGCACTGGCAGGCGCCAGGGCTCCAGTCTACCTCAGCCAGGACATCAGACCCCCCTGGTGCATCAGCAGCCCCTGTCCCCGTCCTCGGGAAGTTGTCAGACTGGGCCGTGTCCAGGTTCCGCCCCTTCCAGGGGAGAACGGGGCAGCACAGAACCCTGTTTCGCACCTGGTCCCCGGGGCTCCCATCTCGGGGAGCAGGAAGCCGGGGGCAGTGCGGGTCAGTGCCGGGACACAGGGGTGCCTGGCGTCAAAGGACCAGCTTCCAGAGAGGGACTGGGTTTCACTGGCCAGAGGGCAGCAGGGGCTGGCTGAGTGCGGGGAAGGGGCAGCACGTGGCACACTCGGGGACTGGTAAAGCCTGGAGACCTGGGTGCAGGGAGTGGCCGGCCTCCCGGGCGGTGGGGGGAGGAGAGGAGGCCACGGAGCTGGTAACGAAAGTCCAGCCGTGCAGCGAGCAAGACACCCCTGAGGCCGCACCCTGGCCCGGCGGGACCGGGAGGGGGCCAGCTCACCACAGCCCACCCGCAGGGAGACGGGAGCCCACAGCCCCCGTCCGCCCTCTGTCACCTGCAGCCTGCCCTCCTGATGTCGGGGTGGGGGCCCCGGGGCCAGGGCGCGGGGCTCACCCAGGGAGATGCTGAGTGCCAGGGCCATGTGGGCGAACTCCAGGCCCTCCTGGCGCATGCCCAGTTCGGCCAGCAGCGCCACCAGCTTGTTGCTCAGCCGAAGCTCCGCCTCCTGGTTCCTTGTGGTCACAGCCAGGGGCAGTGCCCGGTCCTGCCCATGCAGGTGCAGGGTCAGGCCTGCCCACCCCCGGGACCTCCTCAGAGCCTCAAACCTCTCCCTAGGGGCTGCCCACCCCCACCGCCCACTGGATCTTTGCACAGCTCTGCCCTGACAGGAAGGTCAGCTCAGGGAGGCCCGGACGCCCCCAGGACCACTGGCCGTGAGCAAGCCGGGGCGCGGCTGAAGCCCATCTGTCTATATTGCACAACTCAGCCAGGCCCTGGACCCCACTGGGCAGTGAGGGCCTCACAGCGGGGTCCAGTACCCCCTGGACTCTGACAATGCCATGTTGACCTGAACCCCGGGACTGAGCGCCAGGCCAAGAGCTGGGCAGACAGGAGGGGAGACGCTGCCCTCCCTGGGGGTGCGTGTCTGGTCCTGTCCTCCCGCTGATGTACTGTGGCCCTGTGCTCCTCTGAGCATCAGTTTTTCCATCTGTAAAACAGGGACAGACTCCAGGCTTGCTGGAGACGATCGGGTTGCGCGCAGCCAGCCTGAAGCTGGCCCTCAAACCACACTTCCTTTCTCTGTCCCCCTAGGTTGGGGTGGGGTCGTGGCCATCCCAGACGAAGCCTGGGGCGGCCCTGCCTTCTGGGAGGCCTCTCCCGGTGCACCTGTGCCTCGGCCCGCCCGGGATGCCCACCGAGGCCTGCCCACATGGCTCTGGGCCCTCACCCTGTAGAAGGACACGGCTTTCTCCCGCTCCCAGGCCCCGTTGAAGAAAATGTCTCCAGCAGCCTCGAACAGCTCCAGGCCCAGGTTGGGGTCCCCCGTGTACAGGGCTGCGTTCTGGGCCACCTGCGGGATGGGGAACCCTCATGAGACCCACAGGGCTCCAACAGGGCCGGTGGCCTTCCCAGCTGGTAGACCCTCTCAGCCACCGCCTGGCCACCCTGGGACCTGCGAGCGACAAAGACACATGCGTGGGGGCTCTCCCTTCTCACACACTTCAGGAGGGATCGGTCCGTGCATGCTGGGGCACAGTCACCCGCTGGTGTGTGGAGGATCATTTAAAGCCTGTGTCCCATGAAGAGCTTGTCCAGTTAAGGCCGGAGCCAGCAGGGATGGACTGCCAAGGAGCTGGGCGTGCAGTTCAGAGCTGTGCCCAGACTGTGGCATCCTTCACGCTGGTCTCACGGAGGCTCCCGATCCTGGCCCCTCCTCTGCTGTTTCCCTCTGTGCCCTTAGCAACCCGGATGGACATGTCTGCCTGTCTCTCCCACCAGAGGACTAAGGCTGTCGGCTTCTCTGTTGCGTCCAGGGCCTGGCACATAGTAGGTGCTCAACAAACAGCACTGAGCGGAGGAGTGGACCAGCCCCTGCCTGCACCAGCCACACCCAGCTGCTCGCAGTCCCGACACTTGCCACCCTCCTGTGCGCCTCTGGGCCTCTGCCCCACGCAGCCTGCTGCTGGAATGCACCCCTCCCCCGCAGGCTCTGGCCCCCACTCACTGCAACTCCAACCAGCAGTGACCCCAGATGGACAGGAGCTTACCCTCCCGCTCCTTTCTGCACCCCATCCTGCAGAGCCCCAGGACCCCGAGTCAGCATTGTTCGGGGGCTAATCCCCCTCAGCCATAGCTCCGGATGGGAGTCTCCAGCCCGGCCCAAGGAGGGACATAGCAGGTGATCAGAAAGAAACAACTCACATAGATCGTGAGCCTCTCGGCTGTCCCGGATCACGTCATGTTTAAAGCAGGTGTGCCAGGTGCTGCTGGGGCAAGGTCTGTGTGCCACCTGCGTGGGCACACTGTGTGCACCTGTATTGAGCACTTGCTACGTGCCACGATGGTGGGGGGCACTGTGAGGGGCACATGCCTCTGGCCCTCAGAGCTGAGACTGTTGTGAATGATGTTGGCAGTGGGGGTCCAGGGAGATGGCACAGGCACCTGGCATGCAGTTCGCCAGCGGTTTAGGTGACTGGGCCAGGGAGTGTGTACACACCCACACTCCCACCTGGATGTGCAGGTGCACCGGCCCTCTCACCTGAATGTGCAGGTGCACAGGTCTCTCTCCCTGGATGTGCACACGCTCACACCCTCACGGGGCTGTGCAGGTGCACCGGCCCTCTCACCTGGATGTGCAGGTGCGCAGGCCCCTCTCACCTGGATGTGCAGGTGCGCAGGTCTCTCTCCCTGGATGTGCACACACGCTCACACCCTCACGGGGCTGTGCAGGTGCACCGGCCCTCTCACCTGGATGTGCAGGTGCGCAGGTCTCTCTCCCTGGATGTGCACACGCTCACACCCTCACGGGGCTGTGCAGGTGCACCGGCCCTCTCACCTGGATGTGCAGGTGCGCAGGTCTCTCTCCCTGGATGTGCACACGCTCACACCCTCACGGGGCTGTGCAGGTGCACCGGCCCTCTCACCTGGACGTGCAGGTGCGCAGGTCTCTCTCCCTGGATGTGCACACGCTCACACCCTCACGGGGCTGTGCAGGTGCACTGGCCCTCTCACCTGGATGTACAGGTCCACCAGCTCGTTCTGCTGGAGCAGGTAGTAGATTTTCCCTGCTTGCAGCCAGGCGTATGCCTCCTTGTCCTTCTTCTGGAGGTCGATGAACATCCCCAGACTGCGCTTGGTGTAGTCCAGCGCTGACTTGTAGGCCCTGGAATCAGGCAATGGTCAGAGCCAGCACCCCCAGGCCAGCCGGCACCTGAGAGTGCCCAGGCTTGGCCCGGACCGGTCTGGTGACAGTGGACCTGGACTACTGGGAGTGGGAATGAATCCCGCCCTTACTCCACAGGGAAGCGTCAGCCATGTGGCCAAGCAGGGCACGCTGTCCCCTCTTCCCTCCCTGCCGTCTCGCACACACAGGCGCCTGACCTCCCTGGGCAGGAAACATGAGCCCCGGGCAGAAATTTAGATTATCGAGGCCAGAGGCTCAGACGCGAGTGGGGAGCAGAACTGCCCAAAGGGCCGTGCTCCCGAGGTTCTAACTGGGGCGGGGCCTGAGAATGTGCATTCCCGGCAAGCTCCCCGGGAACGCAGACGCTGCTGGTCTGGGGACCTCACCTGGAGCCGCACCGATCCAGGGCGCCGGCCCACTGGGCCTGCCGTGAAACCGAGGCCCAAGACCGGCCTCCCAAGCCCAGTGGACGCCTGGCTCCGCCCTGCCCCCACTGACGGGCACGCGATCGGTGAGTCTGCCAGGCCCTGGTGCTGCATGACTCTGGCCACCCGTCACCCCACCTGGTGAGGAAGCTGTGCCCTGAATCCTGCCCCAGGGGAAGCAGGTGGGGCCACCGGCTGTCTCCCTGGCACTGAGCAGTTGCTGAGTCCTGACATCAGAACTGGGCCGTGGGAGCAGACTGGGGGCAGGCAGAGGTCAGCTTACAGAAACACACGCTCTGCCTCCCCCGGGGACAGGGACGGTGTCATGGGACTCCTGTGTCCTGCGCTTTGATTAGTGCCACCCCAGGCGCCAAGGAAGGGAAGGGTCCCCGGAGAGGCCCCTGCTGCTCCGCAGAGCCAGCCTCACCGCTCGGTGCCCAGGGACAGGTAGAGCTGGCTGATGGTCTCCAGGAGCTGCCCCTCCAGCGCCTTGTCAGCCACCCTTCGGGCCAGGGACAGCTGGAGCTCATGGTAGGCGACACACTGGGCCTTCCTGGGCCTGACTGTGCTGTAGAAGTCACACAGTCGCTGGACGGCGTGCAGCTGGCCTGGGCGGGGACACACAGGAGGGGCCGCGTCACCGGCCGCGTGCTGTCTGCAGGGCTCAAGCCCCCTCGGCGGGCCTGCCCCCCCCCCCCCCCGTGAGCCGGGACATCGCAGACCGGGACGTTGAGCCCAGACAGGCTGAGTGACCCGCTCAAGGTCACACGGTGACGAGCACACCATGACCGGGCAGGCAGGGCGCATGACGGATGCTCGAGAGACGGCGCCGGGGATCCTGGCCAGGCTCCCCCAGCCTCAGGACGCCTTTCTGCCTCACACGCTCCTCGCGGCCGACAGCCGCAGCCCAGGGTGCAGGTGGGCGGACTGAGTCCAGAGCTGAGCACCCACCGCAGTGGAGGTGGGTTCAAACCCGGCTTCCGCTCCAGCGTTCCGGAGCCCCAGCTCCGTGGAGAAGCCAGCTTCCGGCCGCAGCCTTCCGCGCCGGATGGCAAGCAGGGCCTGGGGACAGCTGGGGGCTTTCACTAGAAACAGGACGCAGAGAACTTGTGTGCGAGCCCCTGGCCACACAGCAGCGGTGATGGCCGGGGCGGGTGGGGGTGGGCGGAGGGGGGAGGGGCACGTCTGTAATAGCGTCAACAATAAAAATAGAGTTTATACACACACACACACACACACACACACACACACATATGAGACTGATTCAAAGATCAACAAGGAGCCAGAGTCCTGGGCAGCACAGCGAGACAGACCTGCCAGACAGACGTCTACCAAACACCCCAACCAGCAAGGCACACGATCGGCAGTGCCCACGGAGCTGCTCCGGGACAGACCAGGGCGCACGATCGGCAGTGCCCACGGAGCTGCTCCGGGACAGACCAGGGCGCACGATTGGCTGTGCCCACGGAGCTGCTCCGGGACAGACCAGGGCGCACGATCGGCAGTGCCCACGGAGCTGCTCCGGGACAGACCAGGGCGCACGATCGGCAGTGCCCACGGAGCTGCTCCGGGACAGACCAGGGCAGGCCCCAGAATGATTTGTGGGGATCAAGAAGACAAACCCCGCAGAGTGCTTCTCGGTGACCGTGCAGTGGGATCAGAAATCCGTGACAGAGCAAGTCTGGGAGATTCACAAACTCGTGGAGATGTGCGGACCCCCCAAATAACAGGGGTCGAGGAAGAGATCTCAGCAGAAACGAGAAGTGACTTTGAGACCAGGGAAGGTGACAGCATGATGTCCCAACACAGGGCCAGGCGAGAGCAGCCTTTATGAGGACTGAGTACCTATAAATGTCCACATTAAAAAAGAAGAAAATTTCACCTAAAAAAACCTCAACTTCCACTCCAAGATGCGAGAAAAAGAAGAGTTAACTGGATGTAAAAGGAAGGAAAATTAGGATTCAAGGAAATGATGGAAAAACAAAAACCAAAAAACAGACAATGTTCCAGCCAGTGTGGCTCAGTGTCGTCCCAGGACTGAGAGGTCCCGGTTCCGTTCGATGCCCCGTCAGGGCACAGGCCTGGGTTGTGGGCTCGATCCCCAGTAGGGGACGTGCAGGAGGCAGTCGATCAAAGTTACTCCCTCACATTGATGTTTCTCTCTCTCTTTCCCTTCCTGTCTCTCTGAAAAATCAATAAAAACATTAGAATAAAAAACAGGCAAAAGCAAAGCAACAGAGGAAAAGCCACAAAACCCGAGGCTGCCTCTCCGGCAAGAGGAGCAGAGTGGACAGGTCCAGCAGCCGGACCAGGACACAGGAGCAGAAAGCACATCCCCAGAGGGGCCGAGGGACATGGGCGGGGCCGGACGCCGACTCACAGAAGCGCGGGGACTGTCTCGGCCCCCTAGGCACCGTGGTACACAGACACCTTAGCCAACCTAGAGGGACACCTAAAAGGACACAGGTGACTAAAGCAGCCTGAGAAATGTCCCAGAGCAAGCCCGGGGTGACCCTGGGCATCCCCCCACCCTTGGCCTCCTCACTCTTCAATATGGAGGAAACACCATGATCCCCAGGTCCCCAAACTCTGAACCCTTGAATGACCTGGGGAGCCCCGCAGGCGGTTGCTGAAAGACCCACTGGCCACTGGCAAACACCGCCCAGATCCGCACAGGTCCCCACCCTGGCTCGTCGTCGCCCCGGAGGTTCAGAGGGCCAGCCTCTGTGAGCGTTGCACTGTGGCTCCCCAGTGCTCCACAGCCTGGGTTCTCCTGCCCCCGCCTGGCCCCTCATCAGGGTTTCCACCACCCACACCTTGCACCTCGATGCGTGGGTAGCTCACTTACCCCAGGGCCTCGTGCAACCTGATCTCTGCCAGCCACCCCCACGCTTGGCTAACCCTCCTTAATGCTCAGGTTCCAGACTAGAGAGACCCCTGGGCCACGTGTCAGGCCAGGAGCTGCCTGTGTCCACGCGGAGAACCCGCTTTGTGGTTCTTGTGACCGGGCCTGTTTCCCCCGAGAACTGGGAACAAAGCGGCTGCCCCCAGCCCTGGGGACCGCCCCCGGAGGCATGCAGGACTGTTGGACTCCCAGAGGATGACACCAGACCAATCACCCCACGTCCAGGGTGCACGCGGCCCCCCTCTGTTCAGCTACCCCTGCCCAGCCTGGGTAACGGCCAGGGCGACCCACCGCCCGTTTGCCCTGACCGAGGGGATGCCCGGCTAGGGGACTTCCAGCACTCAAAGCAGACGCCTCGGCAGACGGAGACCGCTGGTGGCCCTGCGTGCTGGGCCCAGCGTGGGAACAGCTTCACACCCCTGCACACAGCTGCTGGTTTCCACTGCTCAGCTGCTCGCCGTGGTGCAGAAACCACCGCCCACCTGTGAATCACACACCTGGCTGCGCCCTGACCGGAGGTGGAAAGAACACGTTCTTTGCAGGAAGCCCGAGGGGGCCAGGGAGGCACTTACTCTCCAGGTGGTCTGTCTCCACGGCGACCAGGAAGGCCCACTCATAGTAGCACTTGCCCTGCTGGACGAGGGCCCGGCGAGTGTGCAGGTGGCCCAGCTGCAGGAGCACCTGGGTGAAGTCCGGGCCACACTCCCCGCTGGGCAGCCGGGCGAAGAGCTTCACGGCCTCCAGGAGGTAGTGCTGGGCCAGCCCGCTGGCGCCGGCCCACAGGCACAGGGCCCCGAAGTTGGCCAGGACCACGGCCTGGTTCCGTGGCTGGCCCAGGCCCTTGGCGATGCTCAGGGCGCGGTGGTAGCCCTCGGCGGCCTGCCGGGTCCTGCCCGTCCTCCTCAGGGCGATGGCCATCATGTTGGTGATGGCTCCCTCCTGGCCCCCGCTGGCCACTGCCGCACCCCGAGCGGACTCCAGGATGTCCAGGGCCACCGGGCTCTGCCCGTGCAGCACGTGGAGCCAGGCGAGGGCCACCAGGTAGTCCACGGCCAGGTGGCTGCCTGTCTGGGCGGCGGCGGCCACCGCCTGCGTCATGAAGGAGATGGCCGTGTCCTGCTGCCCGTGGTGGCTGTACAGCTGGGCCAGGCTGGCATAGAGGGGGCCGCGCAGTGCCCGCCCCGAGCCCGCGCCCAGGCAGGCCAGCGCCCGCCTGAGGTAGTGGGCGATCTGGGCCGGGAGGCGGTGGGACCGAGGGGTGTTCTGCAAAACCAGGTCCACACTCCGGAGCGAGCTGGCCAGCGAGCCCGGAGTCCGCAGCGAGGCCACCTTGACGCAGCTCAGTGCCAGGTGCGGCAGGCACTTGCGGCTGTAGATGTCTGCCAGGAGCAGGTAGCCGTCGGCAGGCCACGCGGCGTCCGGGGAGCCCAAGGCCCTGTGCAAAAGCAGCAGCCTCTCCAGGAAGGGCAGGGCGGCCTCGGGCTGCTTCAGGCGGACCTGGTGCTTGGCCAGCAGGAAGCAGGCCCGGGCCTCGGCCTGCGGGCTCCGGCCGCCCACGGCCCTCCGCAGGGCCTGCCTCAGGAGCTCCGCCTCCACCTCGGTGCTGCACACGTGGCCGGGCGTCCCCAGCAGCAGGGCGCAAGCTTTGGGCACCACCTGCTCACACTTCTCCCTGTTCTTCTGCTTCAAGTGGACGGCGGCAAGGTTGGCATACAGGGCCACCGCCAGGAGCAGGTCGCCGAAGTGGCCGTCCAAGGCCCCCAGGGCTTCCTCAAAGTACACCCGGGCCTGGGACAGCTTGAGCCTCCGCACACACAGCCGCCCCAGGAGGAAGCAGAGCCTGGCCAGGGCCATGGGGAGGTCCGCCTTCTTGGCCACCCCCCGGGCCTGTGCCAGGCAACCGGCTAGCTCCTCCTCGTCAGCGAAGCCAGGGAACATGGTGCTGAGGCCTGGCAGGGAGAGCTCATACAGGCCGCGGAAGCCGGCCTCGCACCCGGGGGCGTCCAGAAACCGCAGCAGTGGGCCCAGGGCCTCGGGGTCAGCCCAGTCGTCCTCAGCGTCCAGGCAGAAGGGGGGCTCCTCACTGTCCGATGAGCTCACACCACTGGGCACGGTGTGGAGACCCCAGGACACTGGCTCCTCGGGGCAGCTGTGGCAGGGCTTACATTGTTCTAGAATGTCCTTCACCTTCTGCAGGGTCTCACGTGGCTCTGGGTGCAGGCCAGGTAGGGGCATTTCTGCAAGTCACCAAAACCCCAAATGGATTAGTCTTATCTGAGTCCAGGATGGGGCAGGGACATCCATCCCCTGGCACAGCATACTTATGGTAGCACTTGGCAGATGCTGTCTCCCCAGGGCCTGCCCAGCGCATAGTGGGAGCCCAGCACACAGCTCACAGTGGGAGCCCAGCACACAGCACATAGTGGGAGCCCAGCGCACCGCACACAGTGGGAGCCCAGCGCACAGCTCACAGTGGGAGCCCAGAGCACAGCTCAGTGGAAGCCCAGCACACAGCACATAGTGGGAGCCCAGCGCACAGCACACAGTGGGAGCCCAGAGCACAGCTCACAGTGGGAGCCCAGAGCACAGCTCACAGTGGGAGCCCAGCGCACAGCTCAGTGGAAGCCCAGCGCACAGCACACAGTGGGAGCCCAGAGCACAGCTCAGTGGAAGCCCAGCACACAGCTCACAGTGGGAGCCCAGCGCACAGCTCAGTGGGAGCCCAGAGCACAGCTCACAGTGGGAGCCCAGCGCACAGCTCAGTGGGAGCCCAGAGCACAGCTCACAGTGGGAGCCCAGTGCACAGCTCAGTGGGAGCCCAGAGCACAGCTCACAGTGGGAGCCCAGAGCACAGCACACAGTGGGAGCCCAGCGCACAGCTCACAGTGGGAGCCCAGCGCACAGCTCACAGTGGGAGCCCAGAGCACAGCACACAGTGGGAGCCCAGAGCACAGCACACAGTGGGAGCCCAGAGCACAGCTCACAGTGGGAGCCCAGCGCACAGCTCACAGTGGGAGCCCAGTGCCCAACACACAGTGGGAGCCCAGAGCACAGCACACAGTGGGAGCCCAGTGCCCAACACACAGTGGGAGCCCAGCGCACAGCTCAGTGGGAGCCCAGAGCACAGCTCACAGTGGGAGCCCAGCGCACAGCTCAGTGGGAGCCCAGAGCACAGCTCACAGTGGGAGCCCAGCGCACAGCTCACAGTGGGAGCCCAGCGCACAGCTCACAGTGGGAGCCCAGAGCACAGCTCACTGTGGGAGCCCAGAGCACAGCACACAGTGGGAGCCCAGAGCACAGCACACAGTGGGAGCCCAGTGCCCAACACACAGTGGGAGCCCAGAGCACAGCACACAGTGGGAGCCCAGTGCCCAACACACAGTGGGAGCCCAGCGCACAGCTCAGTGGGAGCCCAGAGCACAGCTCACAGTGGGAGCCCAGCGCACAGCTCAGTGGGAGCCCAGAGCACAGCTCACAGTGGGAGCCCAGAGCACAGCACACAGTGGGAGCCCAGCGCACAGCTCACAGTGGGAGCCCAGCGCACAGCTCACAGTGGGAGCCCAGAGCACAGCTCACTGTGGGAGCCCAGAGCACAGCTCACAGTGGGAGCCCAGTGCACAGCAACAGTGGGAGCTCAGTCATATGGTCACAGGGAGAACACAGGTCAGATTGGCCAAGGGACCAAGTGGTCTTCTTTTCTTAGCCTTTTCTGTTTGAAATCCATTCCAGGAGACTAGTGTCCTAGCTCTGTGACCACTAGACACCTCTTTTCCCTTTAGAAAGATCCAAAGCCACTTAATGGGACATGACACATGACTGTGTCAGCCCTCGGGCCTCCAATCAGGTGCCGGCACCCTCATGACATCATCGAGAGCCAATCAGAGCTCCAAAACCCCTCCACAGAACCCAGAGAAGCACCGCGGAGGAGGAAAGTCCCCGTCTAGCCTGGGACCGTTTCCAACAGGAGAGACAGAAGGGCTCCCATCCCCCAGCCTCCACCTTCGCCCGACTGGTTTGAAAATCTGAGGCCTGTGACCACTAAAGGGTTAAAAAAAAAGCAAGGGCCAGGAGCGGAGAGTCCTGGGACACCCCAGGACTGTTGGCTTTGGGAAGGCTGGCCAGTGCCGCAGAGCAAACTCCATTTCCTGTTGGGAAACTCAGGCTTGAAGGGGGATTTGTCTGGGGAGAGAACCAGCAAAGACTCTTCTGTTTCCAACCCCCATGGAAAAAAGTGTTAGAAACGGATGGTGTCCTCACTGGTCTGCGAAGTCCAGGAACAAACAACAGTCAGTCTGGTGGGTGGCGCGCGTCCGTCTAGACTAGACATTTGACTTGCTAAGAAAACACCCACGTCCAGGAGGCCGATGGGCCCTCCCGGCGTGTGCTCCCGGGGACGTGCGGGGGCCGTGCCCCCTCCTCCGGGAAGGCAGCCTGCAGTGTTCTTCCCTGTCCTCACGCAGCGGAGGCTCGGGCAGGATGGCTCTGGAACAGCCCTGGGGCAGGGGTCTTCTCACTGACACCCCAAGTGGTCCATGCTTCGGTGGACCCCATTCTCAGGGCTCCTCAAAGGGGCCGCGGACATTTGTGTCCCAGGCCCTCTCCGATGCAGACCCTCTGTTGCGGAGGAGGTGGACGTTCAGAGGGAGAAGGAGGGGTTCTTCTTGGACCAGCCCCTTGGGGGAACTTCCTTCTCCAACATAAGGGTCCAAATTCAGTGCGCATGGGAGGCAGCCCGAGGGCCTCTACCTAGCGTCACCCCCCAAGGCTCAGCCCCGTGGCCCAGGAACCCCGGGCCTCGTGGGAATAACCCACCTTGTTCCGCTGGCTGCTCGGTCTCGGCTTCTCCTAGTCTGTCTGCACAGGGGGAGAAGAGAAGGATCAGTCTATGGCCCGTGCACTCGGGGTCGCTGTCATGCAGATGTGGAGGCCCCGGGATGGTCACGCCCGGCTGGCAGCACCGCTGAGGGGCAGTGGGCACAGGAAGCCTGCCTCTGAGGAGCCAAGAGGCCACCTCTGCCAGGGTCTGCCCACCCCCCCGCCCCCCTGCAGAGCGCCGTCCTCCCAGGAGACACTGTGGCTTCCACCCCCCGCGCCATGGGCTCGCCCAGGGAGCAGGGCGCCCCAACCCTCACCCCAGGGGCAGCGCCTCCCTAAACCAGTGTCCAGCTCCTTAGAGTGGGCTACACTAACAGTTCGCCGAGTTGCCGTGGAAACCAAGTGAGAGGTGTGAAAGACGAGTGATGTGTAAACTACGTCCACAGTGTCGACACAGCCCCTGAGCAGCTCGTGGTGTGCGGCAGAGAGGGGCTGACCCCAGAATGCCTCCCGAGGGAGGGTCCCAGCCGGACTTCCCGGAAGAAACCGTAGGCCAGGGGGCTCACGCCTGGCCGCTCGGAGGTCAAGTTCAAGTCCGCTTGTTCAGAAAAAGAACAGAACCATGTGACCAGGGAAGCTCATGTCTGCTATTGATGGAGGTCTAGTGACATGTGTCAGCAAGCAGGCAGAGGTGTGTGTGTATGTATATGCATGTGAGGATTGCGTGGATATGCATGTGTGTGCGTGCATGTGTGTGTACGCACACGTGTGGGTATGTGTGTGTGTGCATGCACGTGTGTATGTGCCTGTGCACACACACATATGGGTATGCATGTGTGTGCATATGTGTATGTGCCTGCATGTGCATGTGCGCGTAGCTATATGTGTGTGGTTGGGTGTGCATGTGTCTTCATGTGGGCGCATATGCACATGTATGTGTGCATACAGGTAAGTGTGTGTACATGTACATGTGTGTCTGTGTGTGTACATATGTACACGTGGGTGGGCACCCTCGTGTGTTTATCTCCGCTCAGGGGGACGAAGCAGTGACTCACGTCCCTGTGACCAGAGCAGTGAGTAGCAGCTGTGCTCTGGCCTTGTCCCTCTGTCCTGCTTCTTGCCATTGGTGACACACTTCCTCCATCTACCCTTCGCGCGGCACACTCAGGAGAGCCCCAAGCGCAGGGGTGAGGGGCCCAGGCCGCGCCCCCGCACCCACCCAAGCTGTAGGCCGCACAGACGCCGGCGCCCGCCGTCCTCCGCAGCAGCCGCCCGCCGTCTTCCTCGGTGAAGCGGCCTTCCCTGCTGAAGAAGCACCTTTCTTCCTCACTGAGGAAAACCACCCTCTCCAGCCTGCAGCAAAGGAAGGGCTTCACTCAAGGTCGCGTGTTTCCGACGTGAACGCCACGCGGGAAGACCGGCTCCCACTCGCGCCCTGGACGGCAGGCCCCGCACACCTGCTGAGCCCAGCAGGGTGACCCGTGTAACAACACACAGAATACACCTGCCTCAGAGGCGGTGTGTCCCGAGGCCCACGCCCCGGGAGCTGAGCTCGGGGCAGCCTTCAGAGCCCCCCCCCCCCCGTGCCCCTGCCCCTGCCCCTGGGCGGCCAGCCAGCCAGCGCGGGCAGAATGGATCCGTCCGCACGCCAAGCTCCTCGCACAAGTCCACCGTGCTTCCCATGGCACCGACACAGACACGCGTGTGCCCTGTGTGAAACAGGCTCACCCGCGGAACACGACACTCGGATACTTAGAGGAAGCCATTGGAGAGGGTCAAGGAGACCCCCGAGGAGCTCAAAATGTCAGCGTCATAAAAGACTAGAAAGACCGAGTAACTGTTTCGGGTGAAGGGGACAAGACGAAAGAGAAGAACTGGAAACAGGTGGTCTGGAATGTTCTCCGGCTACCGAAGCCGAGCGACATCTGTGGATGACAGTGTCAGGTCCCGGACTCAGACAGCCGGACGGTGCCTACGTAAGAGGCTCTGAATCGGTTGGAAGTAAGGACGTGGTGTGTGCTACCCCCACTCAGAAGGTTTGGGAAAGTCTAGACGTTGAGGGGAAAGCGGAGGTCACCTGGACTCGCGGGCAGTGCGGGTGAAGGGTGCCCAGGCCCTGCGGACTCTCCCTGTGCCTTCTCCCCGGGTCTGAAATTGCGTCAGAAAACACGGGGAGGAGGAACAAACAGCTCGTTAGACCCAGGCTAGAAACCCAGGTCTGGACTCGGGAAGATTCCAGAAGGTGTCTGCTGCGTGGGGGAGGGACAGGGAGGCCGTTCGGCCTCCTGCTGTGATGGGAACAGACTAGCTCATCTGAGCTCAGGGTCTGCTTAAGTCATATGGTCTGCCCAGAGGCGACGCGGACCATGGGTACCGTGGGTCCCCAAACAGTGTTCCACAGAACACCAGCTGGTAGGGGTGTGAGGAAGGGGTCCGGGGGTCACCTTCGTATGGGGAACACATCTCAACAGGAAAAGGAGAGTGTCCAACTTCCTGGTGCCCAGGGAGCCCCGTGCGCGGCACAGCACGCAGAGGGCACAGCCCCTCTGTTGCCGGGGCTACAAGGTCTGTGACAAGCATTGGGACAGAACACACTTTGGGAGACACTGGTTTAGCGGCTGCTCTCAGTGTCCGGGCCCAGGTTCTGACCGCTCCTGACGGACAGGCCAGGAAGCGAGCCACCCTTCAAGGAGGGGACCCAGTGACTGCGAGACTCATCACGCCAACGCAGCCCCTGGGGCCTGGCCTGGCCGGTCCGGCGCAGCCCCCGACAAGAATGCGACAGGATGTGGGGGCTAAGGGGCCCCTGAAGACAGCGTCTGCTGGTCAGGAAGTGGGGGGGGGGGCAGCAGAGTCCCAGGACCCAGTAAAGGGTCCTTTCCGAACCACATTCTCCGGGCTCCTTGACCGAAATCTCGACAACAAAAGGTCAAGCCCAGGGGAACCGAATTCCACCACAGCTGTGCTTGCTGACCTCTGTCCCGGGACCCCCACTGCTGCTCGGGGCCCAGCGGAGGGACACGGGTGACCACAGCGCTCCCTCAGAATCGCCGGACGGGGCGGGGGGTCCACTCAGGGAGAGGAGCTCATCCAGGACGAGGCACCAGGAACGAGCCACTGGAGATGGGACTCGGGGCCCCGAGGGCCAGGAGAGCCGACCTCTCAGCTGGGACTGGGGTGGGCTGACAGTGAACGCAGCCTCGGAATCGGGGTCACGGGCCAGGTCGGGGGGCCCTCGAAGGCCAGGCCCAGGGCGCAGAAGGGCTTTGTGAGGGGGTTGGCACGGTGCACTGGACTGAAGTGTCCCCCAAATACATGTGCTCAGGAGGGAGCCTTCTTTGGAAGCCGGGCCTTTCCGGTTCAGGATCCCGACTGAGATCAGGATTGTGCGGGTGGCCCAGTGACTGGCGTCCTTGTACGAGAGAGGGGAGATCAGGCCGCGTAAAGACGGAGGCAGAGCTGGGGTGACGTGGCCACAGGAAGCCCCTGGAGCCTGGGGAAGCCAGACGGGGCAGGACGGTGCCCCCCGGAGCCTGCGGAGGGGGCACAGCCCTGCCCGCTGCTTGATCTTGGACCTCTGACCTCAGGACTGAGGGAGACCAAGTGTCTGTTGTTTTGAGCCCCCATCGGAGGCAGCCCCCAGACACTCATGAGCAGGACCCCGACTTTGTGTCTCAGAGAAAGGCCCCTTGCAGCACCTGAGGCGAGAATTCAGAGGCCCTGGGGACAAGGGGATGGTGGCCTGGGCCAGCTCCAGGCCTGGGGACATGCTGGGAGCAGGCTCGGGAGGCGTGGTCCAGGGCAAAGTCCAGGTGTGTCACCTGGGAGGCAGGTAGACAGTGGCAGGATTCCCACGGGCAAAGGGGCGGGCTGGGAAGGGGAGGGGCCTCAGCCACTCACTCAGACACGTGGCCCTGCACATGGACGAGACTTGTCCGCACAAACCCGACCTGGCCCGACGACACGTGCTGGCCCAGGAACCAGGGCAGCCCCGGCACCTGGGCGCCCAGGATCTCGATGAGGTCGCCACTCTGGAAGGTCATCTCTCCAGGCCCCAAGGCCTGATAGTCTCCCACGGCTGCGGCCTGGCCCACGGCTGCGGGAAAGGGGCGCACGGTCAGTGCTGGGGGCGGCGCCCTCAGCCGGGGCGCGCAGACCTGCTGTGGGATCGTGCGGCTCGTGGCGAAGCCGGGCCACGCACACGAGGGGCTGGACATCCACGGGGCCCTCAGAGAGGGCGCGTCACCCCCACGCTGACGGTGGGACATGGAGGAAGGAGATGCCGATAAATGGGGCCTGGGGTGCTGGCCTCCAAGGCCAGGGCCCACGCAGGCGCACGTGGCTGTAAACATGGGTCCTTCTCACCCCTCTTCCCACGGGGCCTCATGTCCCTGTGACAGGGACACAAGGCCACCCAGACACTAGCCAAGCTGGGGCAGAGCAAGCAGGCTGGCCGGTGCCCAGGTTCCCAGCAGCACTTCTCAGAGGACGCTCGGGGATTCCAGCCGCAGCCCAGCCCTCCCTGTCCCAGGGGCCACCGAGGTATGTGCGGTGCCAGGGAGACGGCTGAATGGTCTGTGGAAGCCACGCCCCCGTGGCAGAGTGACGGACCCACTGGCTCTGCTGTGGGCGGTGTGATTGCACCAGCCGCCAGGCCCCTGTGACCTGGAAAGCGTTCAGCTCTGCCTTCTGCCTTGGGGGGAGCATTCAGGTGAGTGCAGAAGCATCCTCAGTGCTGGGACCCCCGCACCCCCACCCCAGCTTCCCCAGAGGAGAAAAGCCAGTGGAAACATTTACCCATCAGCTGGACGTCTGGCGCCATAGGTCCACCCACGGAGTCATCAAAGGAGTCCCGGGTGACCCTAAGGGCCCATCTGGAGGAGAGAGAGGGGGATGTTTGCTGCGGGATTCTAGATTTGGGGCAGATTGAAGCGGTGCAGAGACGGGTGAGTTAGCAGCCCCCAGTAGGACACGCAGATCCTACTACCTGTCCCCACCACACATGCACACACACACACGCACGCCCGCGCACACACACACACACATCTGGCAAGTGTGCGGCCTTCAGGCCCAGGTGTGGCACTGCCTCTGGGGAGCCCCACGCTCCCATGTGCCTGGGGACCTCCCTTTATTTTCCGGGAGAGAAGCTGAACCACGGCCTGTTATTTCAGGGACACTGAACATCGGGAAATCAACTTTCTCTCTTTGCTTTGGCTGCCAGGAAGCTCTGAGCTAAGTTTGTGCCCCACAGTGGGCATGTGAGCAGAACGTCCAGGTGACCTGGCTGGCCTCCCCCAGCCTCAGTCCCTCCCTTGCTGTGGGCACACGCTGTGTAGCTCCCGAGAGAATAAGCCAGACGGGGAAGCGGATGCTCCCTCAGCACACTGCGGGGCCATCTGCTCCCAGGACGCTGCCGGGAGCCATCACCATTGCATCCCGTCTCACAGGTGCACTGGGAACAGCAGCAGTGAGCACGGGGTGTGCCTGGGGCTCTCACTGTTCTCCACCCCCCACCCCCCAGCCCAGGGCCCAGGGGTGGCTCCAAAGGCCTGACCGCAGGAGGCGGAGACACAAAGGTCGGTACCTACTGATGAAACGGACTCAAAGGCTCCGCAGCGGCCGCCGCCTCCTCGGAGGTCTCGCTGAGGCCCGGAGCCGAAGCGTCCGCTGCCGCTGCTGGGGTGGTCTCTCCCTGGGGAGCCCCCGAAGCCGGCCTGAGGGGCTGGTGGCCCCTCCCTGCACCCTGGGGAACAGTCGTAGCTCTCACGTGGCAGTCAGGACACAGGACAAAGAAAGGCCCTTCAAAGCGACAGAAGGTGGTCATTCAGGGTGGCTGGGCACAGAGGCAGCCAGAGCTCAGGGGCCCAATCATTCCCCTTCAGGGCGTACCGGTGAGGTCAGGGCGGGAGCCCTGCCCCCAGCCTCCGCCTCCCAGAAACAGCGGCCTAGACACCAGAGCCCCAGGACAGCAGGCTGCGCCTGGCCCGAGTCCTGGCTCTGCCCAGACTTTCCCAGGGAGCCAGCCTTGGCCTCACACTCTCGGCGCCTCGGTTTCCCCTTCTGTGCTGAGAGGGGCCAGACATGGGGTCCCGAGGGCCCTTCTTGCCTGCACAACCACGGGCGAGTTTGGCCGCAGCTGGCCACCCGGCTTCCTCCTGGCCCGGGGCGGGAGGGCAGCAGCTTTGGCTGGGTTTGCCGTGGCCCCGCAGCAGCGAGTCAGGACCGCGGGCTGGGGCTCCCTCAAACCCTTTCTGCTGTTTCTCTGGGAGCTGGCCGGGGTCTCCCAAGTAAGTGACAAAGCCAGGCACATCCCTCTCGGTGTCCCCACCCAAGTCCCCGCCAGGCCGGTGCACCTCCCGAGCCCTCCTGCGGCCCGAGGCCAGGCGTCCCCAGCTCGGCCTGGAGCTGGCCCCCGCCAGCTGCACAGGGCTCACCTTCCTGGACGAGGAGGCTCTCGTGCGTCAGCTTCAAGGCCTCCTCGTCCACGTGGACTCGGATGGTCGTCTCCTCGTCCTCGTCCGGCGAGAGCAGCCAGAAGGCCTGGTCCGTGAGCAGGTTCTCCAGGCAGTGATGCGTGAAGCCTGGGCACAGCCAGGCCCTGGTCACCGGGGCTCCAGTAGTGGACAGTGTGGGCGGAGCCCCACCCTGACCAGGCTCCGAGTCTCCCTGCCCTGCCTTTGGGGCTCACAGCACTGTCCCCAACCCAGGTGGGCTACTGTCTGTGGACCAGCTGTGACCTTGCACAACTTATTTGACCTCCCTGAGCCTTGGGAAGGATAAAACAGGACAAGTTACTTCCTTTAGGACCCTGCGTCTCTGATTCTGATTTTCAAACTTCCTCAGCTCTCAGACTGGGGCTGGCGGAGCAAGTGTCCCCAGGAGGCCTTGCACACGCCTCCCTGGAGAATGAGGAATATTCTAGAAAGCAAGCACTGTGGTCGAGGTTGAAATAACAGTTTCCTGGTCTGTGCTCAGCCAGCCGGGCCAGTTAAGCAGAACTGAGCCGGGGGTGTTGGGAGGAGTTGGGAAACTCGGCTCGAGTTGTGCCTCAGCACCGCCCGTGGTGTCTGGGCTCCACCCCCAGCGTCCCTACCTGCGAACAGGTGAGCACCCTGACTTTCCAGTCTCCCTGAGAGGCTGTCGGCACTAACCTTCTCCAAGGCCCTGATTTGTAACCTAAGTGTTTGGTGTATGACAAGCGTCTGGCAAGGCGGGGTCCCCGTCACGGTTCAGGGAGGCACGGGGGGCATGGCTTTACCAAGAGCATGGTAGGTGGAGAACTTCCAGATTTCTTCGAAAGTCTTAAAGGTCACCACGATCCGATCCTGGTCGCTGTGGATGGACAGCAGCCTGGCCGATAACTCCTTACGGGGCAGAAGCAGAAATCAGAAACAGTCCCAGCGGCTTTGTGGCATCTGACCATCAAGGGACAGAGTCACCGGAAGGAAACATTCTGCAGACGGGACCCTGGCCTGGGCGCCAACCACAGCTGACTCCTCAGCAGCCCAGGCTGCTCCCCGCCTGCTCTCGAGCCAGCTGTGGCTCCCCAGTGCCCGTGCCGCTCCTTCCAGAGCTCCTGGGACCTCCGTGCTCCGGACACACCCCCACCCGTGACCCCTCCCCGACTGCTCTGCCCGCCCCATCCCTTCCCACCAGTGACACCAGGTTGTGCTGGCTCAGCCCATGCTCAGCCCTGCACAGCCCGACCTAGCCCCTCCTGCCTGCAGCCTGTTCAGTTCTAACTCCAGCACCCCCTCCCCTCTGACTGCATCCTGTGACACTCCTGGCCATGCGTGGGGGCGTGGGGACGGGGCGTTGAGGCAACACCAGATGCTGAAGCCCTTGCTCCTCAGGAAGTGTGTGTGTGTATGTGTGTGTGTGTGTTTTGGTCGAGGGGTGGGAGGCTATCGTCCTCCCATTTGCTGACCCTCAGTATTGGCACAGCAGGGATGCAGCCCAGAGCCAGCGTGCTGAATCCCCCACCCACCACAGCTCTCCCATGGGGGCAGGGGGCAGCCCCACAGCTGAGCACCGCGGGGCACCATGGTGCTATTCCAAGCATCCCCATCAGAAGCTCAGGAAGCGGGGTTCACAGAGGCTAAGATTGGCCAAGTCAGGCCAGGCCGACTGCAAGGTCAAATGGTGCCCTCTGTCCCCCTCTGTCCCTAAGCCCCAGGCCCAGCCTCCTGTGGGACTGCCCACCTGCAGAGGCCGACGGGAGCAGGACCTGCTGCAGACCGGGCTCCAAAATCAGAGTCAGATCAGCCCGCAGCCCCTCCTACTCCTCAGACAGAGGTGGAGGGGCCGGGAGGGAGGAACCAGGGACATCGACTCCCAGTGCCCATGCGAGGCTGGGCCTGCAGGAGTGATGGGGGCTCCTGGGCCAGACATCCAGGAGCCTGGATGAGGACAAGTCACAGCCCACCACAGGGTGAGGTTAGAGATGCCCCCATGGCCTTGGCCCTCGGGCCCTGGATTTCATGTACCCCACTCCTGCGGGGGCCCCCCTCCTCCGCACAGGTCCTCGCCCGTCTCACTGTCAAGCAAGGGCCCTCCACCTGTGCTCAGCCAGCTTGCTCCCCCGCCCCTGACCCCGAGGGGCAGACTCACCCCGAGGGTGCGGGCCACCTCCCAGCTGTCGTTCTCCAGCAAGCGGAGCCGCGCCCGCAGGGCCTGCTGCAGACGGGGCTCCGGCCGCCCGCTCTTCCTCCGCACGGCCTGCAGCTGCAGCGTCAGGTCTGGGGGGGAGCCTGAGGTCAGGCCTCGGCCCCCGGGCGCCGCTGCAGGAGCCCCCACTGTTGCCTGGCCCCCGAGCCCCAGTTTCTTTCCTGGTAAATGAGTCACACGCTGTCTACACCCTCGAGTGACAGGAGGAAGTGACTCCCGCTCCAGCTCCGAGACAGGACGGCAGGGACTGGGCTTCAGCGAGTGGTCTCGACTCACTGAGCCCTCCAGCCCGGACCTCTCCCCCGCCCCAACCGCCAGCAGACACCCCACGGACCCCTCAGCCCCACCCCAAACCTGGCTCCTTCCCTTTCTCTTCCGTCCCCTGCCGGCTGAGGCCACCCCACCTCCCTCCAGCACAGGCCCACTGGCCCTGGCGACACCAGCCTGGCCGCTGCCCTGGGAGGCAGCTCTGCACTTAGACGCCACCCACCCCCACTGCCGGCCCCCAAGGAGGCCTCCAGAGCACAGGATCCCCGGAGCGGGGCTGCTGGGCGGGGAGAGAGGGGAGGCAGCCTTGCACCTGCCTTAGAACTTTCTAGCAAAGAGCCCTGGAGCCCCCCCACCCCCGGGAGGGGGCTGGGCCGGTGGGAGTCTGGGTCAGGCCCAACCCCCAGCAGGAAGCCAGCCCAGCATTTCACAACTGGTTCTGAGATGTGACCTGTGACCCCTCCTGTTCCCGGAATGGGCGGGTTGCATTTTCAAACCCAAAATAATCTGCCCTGTGGCTCAGTTCGTCCTGATCAACCTGGGTGACCACAAGGGCACTGACCACCCAAAAGGAAAGTGGGGAGACAGGCAAAGGTGAGATGCCAACACTGGGGTCTCCATGTCCTGCACAGCTGGGGGCCAGGAGTGGGGTCTCTAGGGTAAAGGGCAGATTCTTACCACCCCCCCAATTCCAGGTGCTACACCCTCAGCCCAGGGCTGCCCACCATCCACAGCCTGCAGAAATCTGCCCCCATTCTCAGACCCCCCTCCCTGAAAACCAGCCCTTGGACACCTCCCTGAGGGCCCGTGCTCTCTCTCTGCACCCCCACAACACAGTGGTCTCTTTCATCTAGTTCTTATCATGTCCCACCTGTCCCCCCTCCCCAGTGTCCCTTCCCTGGTAGGCGGCCTTTGAGGCCATGGCCCCTGTTTAAGCAGACGAAAGCCAGTCCGGGGAAGCCCTTTGCAAGGCAGGGGGACCCAGAATTCTGGGCCCCGTGGAATGCAGAGTCCTGGGACCCCCAACGGATGAAACCAGAACCTGGGCATCAGCATTTAGCAAGCCCCCCCCCCGAGGGAAAGCAGGGCCAGGGACCCCGCATTCACGTCGCAGTCTGGATTGAGCCCACATAGTGGTGTCTACCTGTGGGGTACGCTCCCTTCTGGCCTGGAGGGGTCCTGGAGGCCGGCAGAGGGATGTCAGGGTGAGGAGCAGCACCTAGGACAGAGCGGGTGGTGTGAGCAGGTGGAAACAGCCCCTCTCCCCTCACAGGCTCCAACCCCAGATGTTTCTGAACAAAGAGGTGTCCGCAGCCTTGCAAGCCACCGTGCCCTGAGCTCCCTGCCCCAGGGTCACCCAGCCAGGAGGACGGTGCCCTGAGCTCCCTGCCCCAGGGTCGCCCAGCCAGGAGGACGGTGCCCTGAGCTCCCTGCCCCAGGGTCACCCAGCCAGGAGGACGGTGCCCTGAGCTCCCTGCCCCAGGGTCACCCAGCCAGGAGGACGGAGGGCATGTGCGTTTCCCTGGGAAGCTCAGCAGCCTCAGAAAACAGCTGGGTTTTGTCTTGCAGTTCTGGAGTGAACACGGATTTGGGGGGACACTGGCAAAGGTCCTGCTGCTAAAATCAAGGTGTCGGCAGAGCCAGCTCCCTCTGAGCTCCAGGAGAGAGTGATCCTGGCCTCTTTCAGCTTCTAGAGGCTCCACATCCCTTGGCTCCCGGTCCCGCCTCCAGCTCCAAACCCAGAAGCCTAGACTCTTGGGTTCTCTGACTCCGACCTCAGGACAGTCTCCCCATCTCAGATCCTTGACTTCCTCCCACCTGCAGTCTCCTTTGCCACAGGAGGCGATGTGGGGGTGCACGGTTCTGGGATTGGGGTGTGGACTTCTTTGGGGGCCATTGTTCTGCTGACCACCCAGGGGACATGACACCCCAGAAGGAACTCGGGGTCTGCTCCAGACAACATGCCTTGTGAGGCTGCTGGGGTGCAGCTCACAGCCTGGCGAGGACTGGTGAGATACCCCAAACTTCAGGGCCAGAGGGGCTCACCTGGGGACCAGAGCAGAGGACGGACTCCTGAACCCTGAGTGGCAGCTCAGTCCCCTGCTCGGCCCCCCTTCCGCAGCCCCATCCTGAGGCCAGCTCCCACTGTGCACCTAGGCTAGGGCCCCTGGTCTCTGCCCTGCTCAGTTTGCTCAGCTATAAAATGGGACGAGCAGTGGAGGTCTTAGGGTCAAGGGGGGGGTCTGACTGGGTAAAGCCTGTGACTCCCCAGTGCCTGCAGGACATTTCTCTCTGAGCCACAGGCACAGCAGGCCAGGTGGCCTCAGACGGACAACACCGTGGTTCTCATTTCCGCTCTCTTCCCATCGGGGGCTTTTGAGGACCGACAGCGCGCCAGCCCGGGGTCTTGCTGTTGCCCGAGTGGTCAGAGTGCCTATCCAGGCCTCGCCTGTCCTGTGTCCCCAGGGCCCGCCCCAGAGCCAGGCACGCAGCTGGGGTTCAGAAAAGCCTGTCAAATCCTAAAGGGCACACGACTTCCAGATCTTGGCTTTAACTACCATCCTTGGATTCGGAAGCCCAGGCTCCCTGAGCAATGTCTGACTCCAGGCCTGTGCCAGTCTTGTGGTCCTCAAAAGCAGGACATGCTCACAGCATGGGGGAGACATGTGAAGACACCAACGCTGGGGCAGTGTGACCGTCTAGATGACAGCGACGGGGACAGGTGGAGAGTGCGGAGAACAGAAGAATGAATAGCGGGGAGCGGGGAGACTTCCTTAGAGGAGAAAGTCAGTTGATAAACGTGGAGGAATAAAGCATGAGACTCACCGTTTAGAAATCATCAGACCATGACTGTTTCAGTCGAAAAGCAAGCGTGGATGATACTTTGTGAGTTTCAAGAGGAACAAGGTATCGACATGGTCTCAGAGTAGCTTCGCACGGTTACATTGTAACAACAGAGGAAGAGTCACTACTTTATCATGGGGAAGGCTGTCCAACACCTCTAACCAAGCGATCGAAATGACTGTCCCTGAGTTGTCAGCACGGACTCCAGCTACGCTGCCCTGAGGGACACAGCACTTCCGGGGTAGTCCTGCCCCAGACACCTGACGTCAGGCGGAGGCACCGCTGTGCGCACACTCAGAGGCGTCCCCTAGAACGGCCTGCTCTTCAAGACAGTGTCTAGAGACGTGGTTTCCTCTGTGCACAGGACACTGCCGGACAGACGGCAGGCCCGGGCCGGCCTGTGCGTCATCATTCAAACCCCACTACACTGTGTTCGGAGGAGCATGTCCTGGATTTAGGGAACACACACGCCGCAGTATTTGGGGCTCAAATAATACGTATCAATACAGACAGAGAGACGGTGAGGGTAGTAAAGAGCCCCGGTCCTGGTCCGGCCACTGTCCCCTTCCCTCTCTGGGTCTCCATGTGTCTCCGGGGACCGCGGGACACCCCGCCGGAGTACTCCGGGGGTCCTGTCCTGCGGACAAAGCAGGACTGCGGGGAGAAGAAGGTTTGTAAAGGAGCCGCCGGAGTGTGCGGGGCAGCGGTTCTAGAGGTTCCAAGCCCCTTCCCCTTTCTCCGTCGGCGTGGTTACCACCAGGGGGGCCCACGCGGGACTGGCGGGGCAGTGAGTCTCTCTCAGGGACACCCGGACAGGCAGACAGCGCTCGGGCCCTGGGCGGGAGGACGAGGTGGACCTCGCACACCACACTCACCGTCTCTGCCCGGAGCCTGGGCCTCCTCAGGTCCTGCTCGAACCCAGCTGACGGATGAGCTCACAGCCTCTCTCTGGACCTTGTCGCCACCACTGCTGCCCGAGGGCCCTGCAGCCGCCCTTGGGGCGGGCTCCTCAGTGACCGTCTCCGCTGGGTCCTTCATGACGGGCAGCGGCCTCAGTGCCCAGGGCTCGGCATGCCGGGCTGGCCCTGTGGGGAGAGGACAGGGTGGTCAGCAGTGATGACCTCTCTGGGAAGACAGGCCCCCAGGACCAGCGTGGGTGTAGCTGCCAGAGTTGGGGGCCAGAGGAGGGAACTCCCACTCTTTGTGCCAGGTGGGCCCTGCTCAGCCTCCTCTCTGATGGGCACAAGCCCCTAGAACAGGCTGTCGGGGGCCCGCGCCAATGGGCATGGGTCTGGCCATCGCCCACCGGGCTGGGCAGGAGGGACGTCCTTGTAGGCAAGGGGGTCCCCTGGGCCCCGAAGACTCAGCTCACAGCTGCCATGAAACCGCCCGCAGAGCATGGCTGCTCCCGCCTAGACCGTGTGAGTCAGGGACCTCGTGGGGACAGGGAGCCCTTGTCCTCGTCACACACCGTGGCACCGTGCTTTGGGGACGAGCCCACTGAGACAGCTCATCCCCCAGCGATGGCCGTTTAGTTCTGGCGGCACAGGCCTCAGCCGAGCCGGGCTTCCCGACAGAGCCGGGCGCCGCTCTGACAGCCAGAGCATCCCCGGAAGGCGTCCTGTGTGTCAGGAGAGGGGCCGGGTCCCACGCAGCCAGCAGGGAAGGATGCGGTGACAGGGACAGGGAAGAGGGAGTGGCTGAGGCAGAAAGGCCACTTCTCCCCCCGGGGGTTTCCCTCATCTTCCCCGGGTTACAGACAGAGCCCTCCAGCCGCACTCGTGGGTCAGGGCGTCGTCAGCAAACGGAGGACGCGGAACACAGCCCGTCGGGCAGGGGCAGTGGGCAGCATGGGCAAGGCCCGAGGAATGCCGGGCAGAGCCAGCGTCGGCGCGGACGCGGGTCAGACACGCCCCTCCCCCCGCACGTCGGCACCTGCCCAGGCCCGCGAGGCAGCTCATCAGAGAGCCCGGCACCCTCGCCCACTCGGCTCCTATTCGTGGGGTCTCTAGTCCTGACGCCTCGTCCTCGCCTTTCGGCCACCTCATCCTTTAGGAGCCAGGTCCGGTGCCCCTGAGATGGAGCGGGGCCTCCCCCAGCTGGGCACCTGGCACAGTCGTACCACCTCTAGGTCATGTGCCTGTCACCCTGCGGGCCTCCCGGGGACGGGCTCACCACGGCCCACCCCGAGTGCTGGGGCGGGCTGAGGACAGGGAAGGCTCGGGTACAGGTACAGGAACCTGCCACCTGCTGGGGGATGGCGGGGCAGCCGGTGACAGCTGTAAGCATGGAGTCCCCGGGGACAGCCCAGCGAGGAGGAAGTGGGTGCCATCTCCACAGAAGCCCTTCCTTCCCGCTCTTCCTAAAATGGCTCCCTCGGCCTGTGGGCTGCGGCCTCGAATGCAGAAGTCACCGTCCCGACTCCCCGACGGCAGCTGGCCGGGTCACCCCCGAGCCGCGGTGGGGAGTCCTCTTCCTGCGGCCTCCATCCTCTTTGCTGGGCTTCTTGTGGGGACAGCACGGGTGAACCTCTGCAGCCCCAGCCGAGCCCCAACCCGGGAGGGGAGCCTGGGGTCCGTGGGCTGGCGACCGCTCCATGCCTAGTCGGAGTTCCACAGACAGGGGTTCCCCACGGGGAGGAGATGGCACCGATCCAGGCTTGAAGGGGTTTGGGGGGTCTGGCCAGACATGTCACTGGCTCGTGCTGGACAAAGACTTCTGGGGCCCACGCAGACTATACTCATTCCACCAAGAAGCACCTCTTGAGGGTTGTCTGGTGGCCGCTGTACTGGGGTGAACAGTGTCCCCCCAAGCCCGTGCTCATCCGAACCTCAGACAGTTTGAGAAATAGGGTCTTCGCAGACGAGGTTACGAGGCGGCATATGGGTAGGCAGGTTTGGACCCATCTGACGTCACAGACACGAGGGGGGAGGGTGGTGACCGGAAGGAGCCACATGACCACAGAGGGAGGTGGTCCTGCTGACACTGGTTTCGGACATCTGGCCTGCAGCCACGACACTGAATCTGCTGTGGCAGCGCTGGCGTGGGGCTGTTACCGCTGCCCAGGGCTCGTCCACCCTGCGGCCTGCTGGGGTCTGTCTGCTGTGCAGCAGGGTCGGCCTCACGTCAGGGGCACTTGTGAGCTGAACTAAAGGACTTCAGCCACATCAAACGCACACGACACCTGGCACAGGAACAACTACTCGCAGTGGTGTGACCGTCAGTAACAACAGCCACCACCCGAGTGCTAACTGAGCACCTCATTGAATCCAGCCTGGAGGGGGGGGTCCTTGTGCCCATTTCACAGATGGTCAGTCTGAGGCTCAGTGAGACTCAAAGGTGAGGCTTGAATCCGGGTGGGTCCGAGTCCGGCCCTCAGGTACCTACCCGGACCTGGAGGCACCCTCCCCAACCCCGCCTGCATCCTTGGACAAGGCGCAAGGAGGCCACCCCACACGCAGCCCTGGATCCGGCACCGGCCGGCACCACAAACTCCCCGACGTTCTCTGCCAAACATCACCACGACGAGCCTCGCCAAATACCAAACGTTGGCAATGCCCACAGACAGGGCCGGGGGTCTGGGACTCTGGAGCGGGCACTGGAGGCCAGTGCAGGTCTCAGCAGTGTCCGCGGATCACACGCGGGGGCAGGACTGGTGTCAGGAGGCCCAGGTCTGTGTCCTTCCACAACTTTCTGGTTGGTGCCCTGCTCCAGGGACCCACCCTGGTCTGATGCTGGGAAAGAGGCCCAGGGCGGAGACCGCAGGGGGGGGTCACGGCTACAGGGCCTCTGTGGGCCTGGAGTCCCTGATGGCCGGCTCGGGTGCCCGACAGCATTCCTGGGCGCCACCCCTGCCAGTTGGTACTGGTGGCATTCCTGAAGTTCTGACTGGCTCCACAGCCCTCCAGGCTCCCCAGAATTCAGATCGGCTCCCCGCAACCCCAAACTCTCAGAAACATCTTCAAGAGAGTGAAGGACCGGAGACTATTACATCCATCAGCAGCAAGACCCTGCTCTGTGGGCGACTCCTCTGGGGCCAGTGCACACCCCCATCCTCCACCTGCCCCTGTCACCCCAGCACCTACCTGTCCCAGCACCCTCAAACCTGCGCCTGCTCCTCGGAGGTGGCTCCCAGAACGGCAGCCGGGGTAGCTGGGGCCGGCTCCTCCTGGCGGGCTCAGAAGGCTGTCTCGGCCAGCCGGAGCAGAAAGGGCCGCCCTCCGCCAGGCCGCCTGCTCAGCCGGGCCGCCGCCCCTGCTTCCTGCCCCACTTCCTCCCTACGCCTGGGGCCAGTGGCGAGAGGCAGGCCCAGCGAAGACAGCCAGTTGATCATTAGCTCCTTCCTGGGCCAGCTCCAGGTCCTCCTGCCTGCCCAGTGCCCAGCCCCCAGGTGCCAGGGTGGAGGCCAGGGGATACCCAGGCTCCTGCCTCGCCCCCAGGATTGGGGAAGTCAGCCAGCTGCCAGGCCGTCCTGCCAACCTCAGCCCTGCTCTCTGTTCCTCTTGCACTGACTGCACACACATGCAGCCACACACACCCGTGCACACACGTGCACACACACATCCATGCACACAATACCCGTGCACACATACACACGTGCACACACAACCATGTACACGCGCACCCATGCATACACACATCCATGCACACACACCTGTGCACACACACACTCGTGCACACACATACCCGTGCACACACACCCGTGCATACATGTCTACATGGGGTGGCCCAGCAAGGACACCTGTACTGACGCGACAGGGGGCTTAGCCCACAGCTCTCCTTCCCTCCTTCCTGGCTGGCTCCAGGCCCCACCTGGGTTTGAGAACAGGGAACATGGCCCTGTTTGCTGGAGATGGGGCTGGGTTTCCCGCTGGGCCTGACCCGATCTGGGGCGGCCACAGCCCACAGCCCTGCGCTCCTGTCTACTGCCCTTGCGAGGCACAGGCTCTGGCCCCAGCCCAGCCCTGGGAGTCAAGAACGAAGGGTGACCTTCACTCGGCCTGGCGACGCCAGGAAGAGTCTCGGCTAAGTGGCGATTCTCCTGCTACAGACAGGAGCACTGAGGCTCAGCGCGGTTTCGTGACGGGCCCCGGGCCAGTGACCACTGAAGAGGGGCTGGGACCACACTTGGCAGACACAGGCCAAAGCCCGGGTTCCCAGCTGCCGCAGTGCGGACCCTGCGGAGGGTCCTTGTCGGGGAAGGGGCCGCCCTGGAATGTGAGCGGCATCCTGGCCTCTGCCGACTAGATGCCGGCCCAGCTGTCCAACCAAACACCTCTCCAGGTATTTGTCACTGGGGAGCAATGTCACCTGGGCTGACGACCATCGGTCCAGGGAAGCTACTTTTGGGCAAGGCCGGGCCACCCGCCATGGCCTTCCCTGACCCCCGCCATCTGTCCTTTCTCTGATCAACTCCAGACACTATGGCCAGCCACCCCAGAGTCCTGCCTGCCCCTCGGGCCTTAGAGAGGCCTAAACAAGGTCCAGGTGTCCTTCCTGGAGCCCCCCCAGGACACGGGCCCTCACCACCCTCTCTTTCCTGAGCTCCATGCCCCGCCACCCCTGCGCCTGCCCCAGTGGACAGTCCTCTGTCCAGCTCCCCATGGCCCCCTCGAAGCCCGTGAGCAGGACCACGGCCCCATCCACGGCCCTGGAGTAGGACCACGGCCCCATCCACAGCACTGAAGCAGGACCACAGCCCCATCCACCGCCCCATCCACGGCACTGGAGGCAGGACCACGGCCCCATCCATGGCCCTGGAGTAGGACCACAGCCCCATCCACGGCACTGGAGCAGGACCACGGCCCCATCCACGGCCCTGGAGCAGGACCACAGCCCCATCCACGGCACTGGAGCAGGACCACAGCCCCATCCACGGCACTGGAGCAGGACCACGGCCCCATCCACGGCCCCATCCACGGCACTGGAGGCAGGGCCTTCCCACACCTCCTCACCCCTCGGGGCTCCTCCTGGAGCCATTCTCCTGGGCCCATCCGGAGGCAGATGCCCACACACCCTCTGCGCTGGCACTGAGGACCCGTGGATACACACAGATGGGCTGACATCATCCTAGGTCCCTCTCTCCCCCGCTGCACCCGGGGCCTTCTTGGCCTTGTCCCGGGGTACGGCCCTGGGCCCCCTCACCTCCAGCACCAGGGCAGGAGCGGGCCAGCGCGGGACCCCGTCACTGTGCTCGCAGCCACCGTTGTGCCCGTGCCAGGGCCCGGGCGCTGGTTTGCTCAGAGAAGAGCCGGCGGGGGTGGGTATCCTGTGTCTTGCTCTAGGCTGCCGAGGATTCACTCGATGTGGGATTCCCTAGAAGGCCATGCACAGAGCACACAGCGCAGCCAAACTTACACATCTGTTCATGTAGCAAACCCGTGTCTGGGCTTCTCCAAGGCCGGGGGACAGGTTGTTCAGGGCGTGGACAGAGAGGATCGTGTCTGGAAGCTCAGTTCCAGCCCAGACACTCACCCCACAGCCCAGGGCTGGCCAGGGGGCTGTGGCGAGGAGCAGCAAGGCACCGAGACGTCCCCACCTGCGGCCTGCCCTCGGCGTCCCCCGGTGAGGGGGGACCAGTTTCACAGCCTGCGCTCCAGGACCCCACACTGTGTAGAACACGAGATGCTTGGCTTCCGCTCGCTTGTTTTGCTGGAAATGGTTTTGAAAGAGGCCCGACGGACTCCACGTCCATAAAGGGGCTGATGCTTTTCCTCTGCTGGCTGGTGTCCCACCGCGCCTGGGGCCACATCCTGTTTGTCTCTGCAGCTGTGCCCTTGGCCGAAGGCCAGGGGGGTTTCCAGGAGCCTCCCCAGCGGTGCCCAGTGCTCCTCAACTCTGCACAGTGCACCCCAGCTCCACAGAATGCGCCCCAACTCTGCACAACACACGGATTGTGCAGAATGCGCCCCAACTCTGCGCAGCACACGGATTGTGCAGAATGTGCCCCAACTCTGCGCAGCACACGGATTGCACAGAATGCACCCCAACCTTCCAGAGGAAGAACACGAGCCGCCCAGGGCGGAGGGTTTCCAAGCAGGGGTCCTTCCTGGAGGCTGCGGCCAGGGGCAGACCCACAGCCTGCCTCTGTGAGGCTGCTCTGCACCCGGCCCAGCCCGGCCCTCCAGTGCCTCTGGGTGTCCTGTCATTCCCCGAGCCTCAGTTTCCACCTTGCCGCCGTGGAGCGGGGAGTCAATGGCCCCGACTCGCAACATGGCTGTGCTGTCTCAGGGACGGAGGGACACAGTCTCTCTGCTCTCCAGCGGCCTTCGCCTGGTCAGCTCTGCTCCAGGTGCACAGCCTGCTAAGCCCCCACGACCTTCCGGGCGACCGCAGTATCGGAAGCCGGGACAGGCCTGGGCCGCGGCCTCCCGAGGGTGAAAGTGAGGGGCTGGGTGCTGCAGGCCTGCGGAGGGGGCGCCGGGGCACGGGCCTCCCCGGTGCGCCGGGCTCTGGCTCTCTCCAGCAGCCCCAGCCACGCGGTCACTCCAGCCGAGGGGTAGGGCCCTGCACAGCCCTGCCGTGGCTGCCTGAGAGCGGGGGGCTGGCCTTGGCCCCGGGACGGGCCCCACTCCAGAGAATGTGAGCAGTGGAGAAGCATCTCGGGGTCACCCCCAGAGCAGGGGGGTCAGAAGCATCTCGGGGTCACCCCCAGAGCAGGGGGGTCAGAAGCATCTTGGGGTCACCCCCAGAGCAGGGGGGTCAGAAGCATCTCGGGGTCACCCCAGAGCAGGGGGGTCAGAAGCATCTCGGGGTCACCCCAGAGCAGGGGGGTCAGAAGCATCTCAGGATCACCCCCAGAGCAGGGGGGTCAGAAGCATCTCAGGATCACCCCCAGAGCAGGGGGGTCAGAAGCATCTCAGGGTCACCCCCAGAGCAGGGGGGTCAGAAGCATCTTGGGGTCACCCCCAGAGCAGGGGGGTCAGAAGCATCTTGGGGTCACCCCCAGAGCAGGGGGGTCAGAAGCATCTCCGGGTCACCCCCAGAGCAGGGGGGTCAGAAGCATCTTGGGGTCACCCCCAGAGCAGGGGGGTCAGAAGCATCTCGGGGTCACCCCAGAGCAGGGGGGTCAGAAGCATCTCAGGATCACCCCCAGAGCAGGGGGGTCAGAAGCATCTCAGGATCACCCCCAGAGCAGGGGGGTCAGAAGCATCTCAGGGTCGCCCCCAGAGCAGGGGGGTCAGAAGCATCTCAGGATCACCCCTAGAGCAGGGGGGTCAGAAGCATCTCAGGATCACCCCCAGAGTAGGGGGGTCAGAAGCATCTTGGGGTCACCCCCAGAGCAGGGGGATCAGAAGCATCTCAGGATCACCCCCAGAGCAGGGGGGTCAGAAGCATCTCAGGATCACCCCCAGAGCAGGGGGGTCAGAAGCATCTCAGGGTCACCCCCAGAGCAAGGGGGTCAGAAGCATCTCAGGATCACCCCCAGAGCAGGGGGGTCAGAAGCATCTCGGGGTCAACCCCAGAGCAGGGGGGTCAGAAGCATCTCGGGGTCACCCCCAGAGCAGGGGGTCAGCACACAGGCGCTCCCTGCCACCCTGGAACTGGGGTGCATAAGGTCAAGGTCACAAGAACGCCCAAGCAGGGGGCGGGTTGAGGTGGGCATGATGGGCACTAATGACCAGGCAGCTGCAGACCACCCTGTGCTTGAAGCCGGCTCAGGACACAGTGAAGCCGGGTCCCGCCTCCTCCCCCGCCGGTCACGGCTGAGCACAGGTAGTTCCGTCACCTGTCTGACCGCGGACCAGCACCTAGGGCGTAGGAGATGAGGCCACAGACAGGTCAACGCATAACAAGGTCCTTTAGGCTTATAAATGGGGAAACTGAGACCCTGGAGGAGAAGGTCCCTCACCCAAGGTCACCTGGCCCTTTCTGGTTGAAAGTGGCCCTGAGAGGCTGGCCCTCAGCCCAGGTCCTGCCTGGTGACCGTGCCCTCGCCTGCCCTGGTCCCATGTCCATCCTGGTCTCTGGTTCAACATCCGTGAACTGCCGGTGTGACCCGGCCTAATGCCCTTTCCCAGAAAGACAAACGGACAGACACCATCTTCCAAAGCAGCACGTTCCTGAGCCCCACCCAGGCCTAAGGAACAGAGGGAAAATCGGCCTGGGGAGGCCTCTCCCAGTTGGTTCCCCAACACCCCGTCTGAGCACAGAGGCAGCTCAGGGAGAGACAGGGCCGCCCGCCCGGAGC